TCATCGTCTAACTTCCACTTGTTTTTATGAAGGTTGCAATAGAGCCTATGGATATATATGCTTAATGTACTATTCTGACTTTTCCAATAAATACAGGAAGGTCATATACACTCCTGTACCCCCATCACACATTCAAAAAATGTGTGAGAAATGTGATGGTTTCTAGTCACACCAGTTTCATAGGTTTCACTGTGCTTCAGGTGCTTTCAGACTACAATTCCCATCAGCCCCAACATGGCCAATGATAATAGATCACCAAATTGTAGAGCTGGAAGGGACCAAAAGGGTCATCTAGTCCAATCCCCTGCAATGCAGGATTTTATTTTATTTTATTTTATTTTTGGCCCAATGTGGGACTCAAACCCATAACTCTGAGATTATGAATCTCATGTTGAAATTATAATGGGAATCATGGTTATCTAGAGGGCCATGGGTTCCTCATCCCTGCCCCATTAAATAGTGCCCATGTTGCCTAGCATACTTTCCCTTTTCATGCCTGAAGCCCTTTAGGAACTTTTACCTGGGAAGTGAGATTCTCATTAAATTGATATGCATTTAATTTTTTGAAAGTGCCTTTCAAAAATGGCATTGTTTTTACATATTGAATACTCAAGTTAAAAGAAAAGAAAAGATAGTGTCCTTAATAGGTCTTATGCTTGGAAATAAATTACATTTAATTCTGTGGAGCTTTCTCTCAAGTATATGTGTGTTTAGGATTGATGTCTTAGCACTTCCCCTCTCCTGCCAGTTTTCCCCCTTTCACAACCATTATTAAACGGTTGCTTCTTTTAATGTAAAACTCCATGCCTGCAATCCATTTTCTTGGGGTTGCCAGCTGTTTAACTTGCATTGCAGCATTCCATGAAGTCTTTTATATGAAAGAACTGAAATCAGGAATCTAGCAACCTGTAATGTTCTATAAGAGTCAATGTCCTGGAGTAGATAAGCTAGATGTAATTCAGGTGGTTTAGCAACTTGCATTGCCTCTGCACTTTTTACAGTTACTTGAGATGCAGAAACAAAGCAGGTGAAGTTTTGGCTGGCATGTAAACCAGAATTATGACAGTGTGGCCTGATAGATATTTGCATAGCAGGCTGTTAAAAGCACAGGAACAAGGCCGGGAAAAAGCCCTGTATTTATTATGAATCCTTACTGGAGCAAGATGGTCTTAAGATAGTTGCACAGAACTTTACGTCAGCCAGTTCCGCTGACAAGCTTTATTGTTTCTCATTTCCCTTCCTTCTAAAGGACAACTGGTTCCTCTGTCCGTTATAGTTCTCTGGAAATGTGTGTAATTGTAAGCTTGGTTGCTCAACTTCCAAAGCCTTACTGCAGTCAGAGTCATCCTAGTCCCTTGGTTGGCAACTAGTTTTGCTGGAATGGAAGATCTAGTGGGCCAGTGCCCTAGACTTCATATGCAACCCCATGGCCTGCTCAAAAGTACAACTCTCTTCCCTGGACACCCGCCCCCCACAACCTTTTTTCACCTCAATTGCAATTGCGGGAAGGGGCAGCAGGAGACAACATATTCCTCTTTATAGACCTGATTTGGTGCAATTTCTGCTCCTCAATTCATCTGAATAAGACAGAACAACCATGGAGTACACAGCTACCTTGTTTAATATGTTTGTTTGTGTGTGGATATATTTAGTATTTACTTTGTGTATTTACAAGCCACTTTTCTGTTAAGAAAACCTGCAAAGTGTCAGGAAAGCACCTAAAAACTCCCTGTGCAGAAGCACTCTATTAAAAGACAAAAGTCCCGTTAAAATGTAGCTAAAGAACAGTGGTGAGTGGCATTAATAATTAGGGATACTCTAGTAAATGAATGTCTTCACCTGTGAAAAAAATGCAAGCAGGGAGGAAATGGGCTCTTTTGTTTGGCCTGCAAAGCTACCATATCAGGGCTTTTTAGCAAGCTGATTGTCTACCACCTTGGGGGGGAATCTATTCCAAATTGAAATAATACTGGATACAATGTTGTTTTTCCAATTGTTAGTACAGTACATAGCTTTTGATTCTATCATGGCACCCACCTCCAGGTTGTACTTCAGGCAAGAATTATTTCTGGTCACCTCTCACTGACAAGCTGCAGTGTACCCATAATCCATGACCTACTATCTGACTCTGCTCCTGACTAATCAGGGTTTTTTCTGTCTTCACCTTGCCAGATTTCTCCAAATTGCATGCAACTACCTCTCATGGGCTTCTGGGGGCTGTATTTTTTCAATAAAATAAGTGGTCATCCTAGGGATAAACAAAGTCTTTGCTCTCCTTTTTTATTGTTTAGTGGAATACCGCTACAGCCTAAAAGCCAGACCTCATAATCCTATACCTAAATCTAATTAAATTCAAAAGTCCTGGATTACAGCATTTAAATGTGTTTAGGATTGCAGCCAACCTTGGGTTTAGGCCCATTTAAATGATATGGAGGATTTGTACACACTCCTGTTTACTATGCATCTAGCGCGTTCTCACTGCTGGTTTGGGAAGCGGTGTGCACATGACGTTAGCTACGGTCCATGTCTATCCTGTTGTTTCTTATGAAATACTGCACAAAATATTTGATGAGTTTCCCCTCAAAACCAGTTTCTATCCAAATTGAGCAAAAAAAATAACCTAGCTGTGCTTTTAAGCCAGTAATGAGTACACAGCCTGTATCCGATAAACCCAATGAGCTGATTCAAATATTAGATGGCAAACCTGCTAGCAAGACCTGGATTTTAACCATGTGCAGCACCTAGCATAAGGTTACCAGATTTTTTTCAAGGAATCTAGGAACACTTTTCATCTTCAATGGATTTTGTATGGGGACTGATTTGTACATCCGGGGACGTCTGGTAACCTTAAGTCCTAGCAACATACATGCCTTAAAGATTCTTAAAGGGGCTGGGGTATTGTTTAGGGGGGCTGTTTGGTGGGGGTTGTTGCTATTGTTGCTGTCAATTTTTTGGATCTTTATATTGGATCTTATGATTTATGTGGGAATGGTTCAATTTGGTCGTGTGTGTTTTGATGTTTTGTTTATGGTTTATGACTACTTTTGTTACGTTCGTAGTTATGTATTTTTTATATGTTATAAGCTACCTTGAGCATGGTTTTAACTTTGGAAAGACGGCATACAAATAAAATGATTGATTGATGTTGTGAAGGACAGCTAGCTAGGACCTTGAATTCTTGAGCAATCTTTTTGCAGTTGCTGTACGCCAGGATTTTTGGACTTCTGGGAAACTTTAAAAATGAGACTTATCCAAATAGCATTGTACTAAAGATATGCTCAAGAATGTATGGATTGTGAGAGACCAAGATCTGAACAGACGGTTCAGTGCAGGTCCCTCTGTGAAATGCCCTCAGCCTAAACTAATCAAGAGGAAAAACAAGGGCAGATTAACCCTTAGCAACCTGCAGTGAAGCATGCTTCTAAGAGAGGCCTTGACTGGTGTTTCTGAGAGTTAGGAAGCAGAGACAGGGCTACGGGGCTCCTGCTGATTTTGGGGGGTGGGATGGGGAATGGGTATATATTTTCCCCCATCCTTGCTTAGGAAGAAAAGCTCCTACAGGGGGATTTTGAGCAGGGGGTAAATGGCTACAGGAAGAGAAAGAGTTAAGCTATGCAGCCACACACACCCTCCCAACACACACACTTTGCTTAAGATTGCAGCCTCTGAGGCAGCTGGGTTAAAAATAAAAATGGGTTAGGGACACTGCATATGTCATTTTAGCCAAGGAAGGAACACTGAAAGGCTGTGGCAACTGGTAGCAATTTGACATGGTAGGGCCGCAATTTTTAACCTTGCTGTTTTTATCACAATAGGACTCGTACAGAACTTATTTAGGAAAGTGAGCCATTTGACATGTGCAGAGTGCCATTGTCTCCTCTCTCTAAAATAAAAGTAAAAATCAATTATTATACACACACCTATGGACAGGGAAAGAGCTTCCACGGCCAAAGTATGATTTTCAGACAAGATTGACTCCATACCTCCTATTTGGAAATTAAGCCATTGTGCATAGCGAATTCATGTATGAGTTACACCTACACATCTGTTGCCAAAAACATGTTGCCAAAACCCTATATACCGGCAACCATTTTGCACAGGAGTTGCATTCCTGACCCCCGCTTGTGTTGGCAAAGTCAGCGGCGGAGCAAGCCGATTGGGTGCCTGGGGTGGCACGCATGCCCTGTGCCTGGGGGTGGGGCTAGTTGCCCGCAGGGCGGGGCCAGCCAGGACAGGACGCTCCGCAGGGCCTCCGAGGAGTCTGCCTATCTCCTCCCACTCAGTCACCCTACAGCTGAGGGGGAGGCAGCAGGCGGACTGTTTGGGGCAGTGGGGAGGCGGCGGGCGCCCAAGCCACCATGTCACTTTCAGGAGAGACGCGTGGCTCGGGTGCGCTGCAGGCCCTGTGGTGAGTGTCGCCCGGCATTTTGTCACCCCCCTCAGTGGTGATACCCAGGGCAGACCGCCCCCACTGCACCCCCTTCCTCCGCCCATGGGCAAAGTGTGTTCACCCTCTTTTCTGCCTACTTCATGGGTCGGCACAATGTGCACATGCATGATCGTGCATCATTTGGATGTGCCTTAAATGATTATTGCCTGTACACAAATGTGAGGAAAATGTGTGTCCAGCTGCATATAGCTTTCCTTCCCCCAAAATCATTTTAACTACAGTATTCATTATCCAAAGTGGTAATTTATCCAAAAAGAGAGAAGTTGTTTCATTCAAGCCAGGGCACATCAGTGCACAGCTGAACATATTTGCAGTGTACGGCTCAGTCCTGACAATGTGAAGTCTCTGCTCATGTGCAGAGTCATTACACCAGACTAATCATAATCAGCCTCAGATATTTTTCAAGATTTGGGATACTATCTCCCAGGTTTGGGAAAGGATGTAGAGTCAAGTCATATTCAAACAGGCACAGAGCCCAAATTTGTCATTTTAGAAATTCATTGACAAATTCACAAGACAAATTCAAATAGTGACAGCATCCCCCCCCCCCAATTCCTGTGCATTCAAGATATATACCCTGCTAGGGGAAGGGCTGCTTGGAAGCAGATCCACACACCTTTTCTGGAAATACTCTGGAAAATACTCTGTAATTACACACAGTTCAAATCTACCTTATCTGCCTTGCCCTGCCCTGTCAGCTGCTTCTGTAACAGCAGCTTTAAATGAATGAATATAGAGAAATTATTAATAGTTTGTTGCAATTTATACGGAAGCCACCCACTATTTTGCCTCCCAGAAAGATACATGCAAAATGCAAAACGATTAAGTAAATTCATTTATTGAAAGAGACTTGCTGTTGCTTCCTTGCTCTTTCCAGCAAAGTCACAAAACAATACTGAACTCAGCAAACAAACAAACAAAATGCTCCTCAAATGAGGAAGTGTTTCCTGATGCTTCTCTGGCCTTCAGAGAAAGCATGGGCTAATGCTAGCACATAGGGCTGTTTTGGAAGCATTCCTGACTTCTCCCATATCTGCTCTGGTGACTGTGCTGGACAGGCCCCATAATAACAGATGGAATAAGAGTCTTTCTGCTAGGGCTAAATTTCCTGCAATCCAATCAGTCACATGGTTTTTCCTGCTTAGAGACACATGGGAAGCACCTCTTTGCCATAGCCATACTTTTGGATTAGGATTGGCTGAGTGATGCAGAGAGCTGATTGGCCAGAGAATAGGAGATTGGCAGATATGTCCCTGTATGGTCAAGGAAGTATAAAATGGGGGGGGAGGGGTCAGGGAAGAGTGATTTTGAAGAGGAAAAGATGCTCAACATTTTCCTAGGGAGGTTTGTGCCTTAGTAACCTCAGTGGACCAGCATCCATTGCTAAAAAGTGGCAAGCTTCTGCCTTTCCCCCTTCCTTTTAAAGCTGCTATGCTGCTCTCACTTTTCATAGCAGCCAGGCACGCGAACTAAAATGTTATGTCAAATGTATGATTGCTTATAACATTTGTTTGTTTGATTGACTGATGACATTTGTGTACCACCTTTTCATCCAAGGATCTCAAGATGGTAAGCATGGTTCTCTTATCCCAGTTTTATCCTCACAACAACCCTGTGAGGGTAGGTTAAGCGGAGAGACCGTGACTGGCCCAAAGTCACCCAGTTAGCTTCCTGTCTGAGTGGGGATTCCAACTCTGGTGTTCCAGATCATAGTCCAACACACTAACCATTACACAAAACCCATTACAGGGCCCTCAGTCAGGATTTGGAACGTGACACGTGGGTTAAACCCCTTTTCTGCACCAGGAGATAAGAACTGCACATACCCTTCTGTTTGCCCCAGGAGGGAAGACTATAATGAACACCAATAGCGGTTTTCCTTCTGTGAAGCAAAAAGTTCACAGGGGTGCAGAATGGTCCCAGTTCTGATCAGGGGGCCCTATGGGTAAGATCATTACTATTAAACCAATTGAAGTCTATGGCACCGATAACACCCATTTTCTTCCTTGGAGGTCCAGAGGCAATTTGTAAATGGCAAAAGAGCTGCTTGAGTGAGAGAACTGGCAGAGGGCTTTTATTTTTTCCAACTGTGTCCATCCGGTAACAAGGATGGACTCTAAAGCAGGGCTTAGGCCTTCTTTAAGGTTTTGTCAGCAAACTCGCATTGGAGTCACAAGATCAAAGAATCATAACGTTGCATTAGTGAGAGTAACATCTCTTCCTCTTTAAAATTCTCTGCGTTTTCTAGTTCCTCAGGAAGTAGACTGTGCTTCCTAAGGGGTAAAGCAGGCGAGAACAAGCAGACAGGGGCCCACCCCTGGTTATATACAGAGTACAGGCTGCCTTAGTGCTACAGAACCATATACGCCAGTGTCATAACTAGTAATTTTTAGGCCCCTAATTCTCTGTTGCTGCTGCCACCTGAAAAACCAGCAGCAAATAATTAAGAATAGTTGTGAGCTTCAGAAGCTGTTGCTGCTGCAATTCCAAAGTCCCACTGGTCAGATGAGTGTTTCTTCCCAGAAGCTGCTGTGCTGGTCACTGCAATCCAACATCACATTTCTTTGCTTTTCTCCCCAGCTGGTGGCAATCAGTAGCTAGAGGTCCTTAGGCTCCAGGCACAAAGCCCAAGGAGGAACTGCAGTGGTGGCTCTCGGGCTGGCCTGCTGGCCTCAGAGCAAGCTGGATTCTGGCTTTCCATCTACCATTTTGAAAACATGCTTAAGTATTCCATGCTGAAAAGAAAACATGACACAATCTTACCTTTTAAACTATCAGTACATGACCCATTTGTTCCCCTGTCTTGGTTGGTTCTGCCCACCCTAGTTACACTGCCGAACAAAGTACATGATAAAGAGACGAAGGGAAGAAACCTGGTGTTTACCTGTGATTTACAATTCAGTCATTCTTTATTGCTAGAAATTCTGGTTTGTTTTTGTCTTCCCTTATTAATTGACTACAGTTTTTTGGAGAATCTTGCATGGCAACTTAGCTGTACAGCAAGCAGGGCAGTCCAGAGCTTCTGGAGGCTGAGCCAAAACCCTCCATTCCCCTAGACTCTGATCTAACATATATGCATGCCGGTTGATGGCATACTCCTCTGGGCGCGTGTCACCTGGGCAGATCAGGCCACCACACACAAACACCTTGTTATCCCCAATTGAGCACACTGCATGCGAAAGATCCAAGCTGTAGTTATTCGGCAAGAGTGGGACAAGTTTTGTGGATTTGCTCATTTTGATCTTCTGCAGGTTTATTTCCAAGCTCTCTTTGTGGCTCTGTATGCTCAAGACATTCTCCTGAGGAAAGGACAGCAAGGGCTTGTGATTGAACTGAATGGGAAACGTGATGTACTGCACCACATTCTTGGTCTGAGTGTCAAAGCAGTCCAGCACACCTACTCGGGAGAAGCGCCCATTCACCAAGCACCTTCCTGTCACAATGTAAATAGTCTTGTCTCCCTTGGTGATCAATGCGGTTGCATCCATAGGAATACTCATCTTTCCAGCAAGAATCCACTTCTCTTTCCCTTCGTCGTACTTGTAGATACTTGAAATGTACTTCCTTGGGGCTGTGCTTCCTCCTACAGAGTACACTGCCCCCCCACAAGTCACCATGGTGTGGAAGACCAAACCTATAGGCAGATCCGGAAGTTTGATCCAGGAGTTAGTATCTATATCGTACTTCCAAGCTGTTTTCAAGCCAGAGATCTGCTCTGTTGTTCCTCCAGAAACATAAATGTATCTCCCTAGCGATGTTGCACTGAGAGCGGCTGCTTTGTAAGGCATCTCTGTCAGCTTTAGCCAGATGTTCTCTCCAATGATATAAGCGAAAACCCCACTGTTGAACTTACCCTGCTCTTTTTGCCCTCCTAAGATCACCACAGAGTCCATTAAGGCCCCTTTCCTTTGTTGAAGCATCAGGCTTTGAGGATTGCCCTTTTTACGATCACTCAAAGTGCTCTCTATCCGGGACAGGGGACCAGTGTGGTCTGCAAAGAGTAACACTTCACGGCAAGTGGACAGAAGCGTACTGGTGGAGACAGCGGATAAATGAATGTAGGTAAAATACTTCTTAAAATACTTCTCCCTTTCAGCCTTTCTGTATTTCACCCACTGGAGGAGGGTTGAGAGAGTCTGGTCCTCGTTTTGTACATGAAGATGTTCATCCTTAAGGAGCCTGCTGAAGACGTTAGGGGGGCAGTGCATGAAGTCTGTTATGCCAGGGCCTGCCCAGTAGTTGAAGTTGTCTCGTATACCATCATAAGCAGCATTTGCCACATCTTTCATATCATATGAGGTGGCCAGGAGCATGTAGTAGAGGCAGTTGTTCTTCTTAAGGGACCTAAGGAGGAAGTCAGAACAGTGGTTCCTTAGAGATGGGGAACTGAAATACTTGGCTCCCTTCAGCAGGTCCTCCACATTCTTCTCAGAAATTACAATCTTCCCAGTATAGAAGTAGTCGAGCAATTGCTCCACCAACTCAGAGCTCAGGAACTTGGCATCAATGATAATAAAGAGTTCATCATCCGCTTTCATGTCATTGCTGGATATCAGATTCCTAATATGGGAGGACATGGCTGCTAAAACATTGAGGTGGGCATAGAAGACTTTCTGGTCCACACTGAGGGCCACATCACAAAACTCCCGGTTCTTTCTCTGTTTGTTGAGGGCCTGCATCATAAAACTGTTGTGGTTCTTTTCTGTAAACTGCATCCTCATTTTTGGGGCCAGGCTTGTCTGGAATTAAGGAAGATGGTATAAGCGTAGAGGACTCTTTGCCCAGTTGTTGAAGACCCTACTCTGGGTACAAGGAGTGATGTCACCAAATAAAGCTGCTAGGTCACAATTATCTGTGACATGTGTTGACAAGAGTCTTTTCAAATTGTCCCTTTTGTACCGAGAGAATATCAGTCTTACTTCAGCTAAACCCGATCCAGAAAGAAAGAGGTTCCATTGATTGGAGGTGAGGTGGCTTCACCTATACTATCTAGAGTGTGTTTGTATTGAAAGGTTACATGTTAGAGTCTTCCAAAGGAAATGCTAGATTATAGTTAAACGCTGTAGTGATGTCAATTAGGAATACATTCCCACTTAATTTATTAGGTTCCACCATGTATGATCTAAATAACAGAGCATTCTGTTCCCCAAAGTAGAACTAAATTTGGGTATCTGTATTTTGATAATGCCTTGATAGGGCAAACATTCCACTGATATGACTTGGTTTCAGCATGTCATACGTAGGATTTAGAGAAAGGCCTTAAAATGGATAGTAAGAGTTGGCTTGTGGTAAGGTGAACCAGCCACAGGGGTGCCATGGGACTGTGAAGGGGTGTTGCTTTGCTTGTTCTTAATGGCCAGCTCACTGGCTTTTCACAAAGAGGGCCAAACAAGATTATATGTTCAATATGTATGATTTTCTTATTTAAATAGCAACCATAGGGAGGCTGATAAGAACTGTGGGTGCTTAAGGTTTAACTCTCTCTCTTCCCACATGCCATGATTCTGATTCCTCCATCGCCACTGCCATGGTTGCTATTTTAACAAGAAAAATTGGATACCCTGGAAGTGCCCGTATGCATTTAATGTATGATCCACTTTGGGTCACTGGTGAACTAATGTTATATACAATTAACTCTACAAGATACACTTGTCAAAGGCTCGAGTTTATTTGCTTTGCAACCCTGTTAATTCTCTTGGAATTCTCAGCGGCTGTTGATACTGCAAACCATACTTTAAGAATGACTTTATAGTTTGGGTTCGGGGAGTGGGTAAAAATAATTTTTAAAAAATCTCCTCCCCACCCTTAAGTCTCTTCTCCTTATTGAAAACTAAAGTGATGCCCAGCAGTGGGGAGAAGTAAGAAAAGAAAATATCCCAACAACTATTTATACCCACCCAGCAAGCTTTACTAGCAAAAAATGTATAGCACACGGTCTGTCAAGATGAGCACAGCTGTTCCCACAAGCTGAGGTGTTGCCTGGATCTGGGAGACAATGCTAGACCTATCTCTTCAGAAACCTGGTCAGCCACTCCAGGCCACAGTTCTGCACTATCCTTATTTTAAAAAAGGTAAATGTAAAGGACCCCTGACAGTTGTGAACGACTCTGGGGTTGCGGCGCTCATCTCACTTTACTAGCCGAGGGAGCCAACGTTTGTCCGCAGACAGTTTTTCCGGGTCATGTGGCCAGCATGACTAAGCTGCTTCTGGCGAAACCAGAGCAGCGCACAAAAACGCCGTTTACCTTCCTGCAGGAGCAGTACCTATTTATCTACTTGCACTTTGACATGCTTTCAAACTGCTAGGTTGGCAGGAGCTGGGACAGAGCAACGGGAGCTCACCCCGTCGCAGGGATTCGAACCACTGACCTTCCAATCTGCAAGCCCTAAGCTCAGTAGTTTAGGCCAGTGTTTCCCAACCGGTGTTCCGCAGCACACTACTGTGCCGCGAGACGTTGCCTGGTGTGCCGTGGGAGGGAGGCGGGCGAGTCGCACGGCGTCTCGGCGTCGGGCGGCAGCGAGCCCAGGAAGCGGCCCAGCCGGCCGGGGTCGCCCGCCTGCAGCAGCGCCTCGCACCCGCACGAGACCTGCTCCGCCGAGAAGCGGGCGAGCGCGGAGGATCGGGCGCGGCGGAGGCCAGCCCCGCGCTTGGAGAGGACGCAGCAGCCGTCGCCAAACCCGATCCTCCTCCTCCTGCTCCGCCGCCGTCCTCTGGCTCTCGGCCGGGAGGAGCCTGCGGCGACGGGGCGGGCGCCGAAGTTGGCAGAAGTTGGCGCGCCTCCTCGGCAGCGCCTTCGTCCTCCTCCTCCTGCCTCTGCTCTCCTCCGGCGGCGGGGGCGCGCCGCCCTCCCCGGCCAGGGGGCTCGGCGGGGCCCGCGGGGAAGGAGGCCATGTTCGCGGCGCGCGGGATCGCGGCCCCCTCGCCCGCCTCCGGCCCGCTCCCCTCCCCCTGCGCGCTGCCCTAGCCGTGCGGGTCTCCTCCCCCTGCGCCGCCGTCCCCTTTCCACATCCGAGGAGCCGCGGTCCGCCTACCGCCCCCGGGCCGCGGCGCGGCTCCCAGCCCGGGCTGGCCTCCGCCTCCTGGGACGCGCGCCCACCCCCGCGGCCCCCCAAACTTCGGAGCAACTCTCCAGACGCTTCTCCCCCGCCTCGGTCTCCCTCCTTTCCACTTCTCTTCCCCCCTTCCTTCCCTCTTTCTTTCTCTTTCTCTCCCACCCGCCTTTCCTTCTATTAACTTTCCTTTCCCCTCCCTTCGTCCTTCCTACTTTTACTCCTGGGCTCCTCCCCCCTTTGCGCAGCCACAAATCAATCTCTCTCTCTTTTTTCCCCTCTCTCTCTTCTTTGCTCAGACGCAAAAAAGCGCCGCTTTTTGGAAATCCAGACTGCTGTCCCCGCTGAAACGATACTTTAAAAAAGGAAGAACCCACTGGCTCTTATTTCTGTTTAAAGCAGTAGATCCCGAACTCTTTTGGCCCACTGCCCCCTTGGTTCCACATCCCCCAGTGTCCCCTATGCTTACTCTATAGAAAGCATTACAGGGGTTAACGCGGCTCGCTAAGGAAGATATTAATAGAATTCTGCATTTGGGGGGAGACCCTAACAGTCATCTACCATTACCTTCTATGCTGTTACTATTTTTTTTATTTTTTTTACATAAGTAAAAAGTGACCTTTCCCCATCTGGCATGGTGGTGTGCCTTGAGATTTTTTTTCACGACACAAGTGTGCCTTTGCCCAAAAAAGGTTGGGAAACACTGGGTTAGGCCACAGTGCCACCCGCGTCCCTCACTCTTCTCATGCCTGTGCCCCAACTCTATACAAGTAGGTGCTAAGTGTCTTGTGACACTGTACCATTCAAATGTTATAAACACCATATTACCATTTCTCAGTTGTCTTTTTCTAACCTAAAAGGCCCCCAACACTTAATGATCCTAGCAGGGGAGGGGCTATAATCCTTTGATTATTTTGGTTACCTTTTTCCATATAGAACATATGCAGCTGATCTGATGCATGATTACTTGGAATACACATCATCTTAATTTGAATGGGATTGACTCCCTGTAAAGTGTGCATAGCATTACAACCTCAGCATTTTCTCTTTCTCTGAAGCAACTTCTTTTTGCATTATGCTCTAGGCAGTGCTTCAGCTTCTAGTTTCCCTGTAGGCTGAATTAAAAATGCTGTAGGAGGAAGGGTGGTTGACTCATCCTCCAGATGTTCTCAGTTTCTTGTCACAACTGTGTAATCTGCCCTTTAACAATTGGGCAATTAATAACAGTGTTTGATATTTGCATAAAAGGGACAGAGTGCAATTCTGTTTGGAATATAGGTATTATCATAGGATAGCACTGACAACTGACCAGAAAAAGAATGGTGTTGCTCCTGTTTACTTAATAGCAGCTTGATCTGTAAAAGTCAGCAAGTTAAGCTTAAACAGCTTAGAAATAAACGTTAGCATTTGCTAACTGTGGCAGGACGCAGGTGGCGCTGTGGGTAAAACCTCAGCGCCTAGGACTTGCTGATCGCATGGTCGGCGGTTCGAATCCCGCGGCGGGGTGCGCTCCCGTCGTTCTGTCCCAGCGCCTGCCAACCTAGCAGTTCGAAAGCACCTCCGGGTGCAAGTAGATAAATAGGGACCGCTTACCAGCGGGAAGGTAAACGGCGTTCCGTGTGCTGTGCTGGCTCGCCAGATGCAGCTTGTCACGCTGGCCACGTGACCTGGAAGTGTCTGCGGACAGCGCTGGCTCCCGGCCTCTAGAGTGAGATGAGCGCACAACCCTAGAGTCTGGCAAGACTGGCCCATACGGGCAGGGGTACCTTTACCTTTACCTATTTGCTAACTGTAAATCAAGATGTCATTAAAAAGGTACAGGAGCAAACGTTAGTGTAAAAATAAACCTATTGGCAACCCTACTTCAGGTACAGGGATTTAGAATAAATACCTTCTTAAACTCTAAAAAAAAATCACGATCATGTTATTGAAGAAAATTGGAAGAAAGATGAACAGATGCAAATGAGAAAAAGGCTCCTGTACTCTTCCATCTATGAAAGAGAACATTTTGAAAGGTGTGCAACTTGATTTGCATGCATGATAAAAGCTGTGAAATTATTCAGGATAAAGGAGCTTTGCCTTTGCCTCTTTTCACCCCACTGCTAAGCCATATCCATCTGCTTCTGTTTAACACATTCAAGTTAAGACTGCCCCTTAAAAAAAAAACCTTATGTTGCTTCTAAGCTTTTCATGTCTACCACACACAAATGTGGTTGGTGAAACTTCCCATCACTTTAATGCCAGAAAGACAGGAATAGGCAACTTTTTACTGGCACTGCTTCACTGTCATTCATAACTGTGAGCTCTGCAGAACTCTGCAGGTGAGGCTTATAGAGTAGCTTGATTGGGACTAGAAACTGGGAGACGACGGTTCCAGTCCCACTCGACCATGAAGCCCACTGAGTAACCTTGAACCAGTCACAGTCTCTCAGCCTAACCTGCCTCCCAGGGTTAATCAAGGACAGCTTAAAATGAAGTGCCATTGAATTTAGGTAAATTTACAGCCAGATAAATATATTTAGGTTTGCAGTTCTAAAGCCCCTTGTGGTATTAAACGGCTGTAACTCTATCTGGTCAAATATTACCACACCTATGCAACTCAAACAGGTTGTCTCTGGCACATGAAGCTCATCCCAGGTGACATAGCAGGCTACAATAATTGATTTGTATTGACTCTGAAGCTTGTTCTTAAACATTGTTTGTTCCCACACCTTCAAATAGCAACACCTGGTTTCTGCCACTGACAGGTAGAGCTTTGATGTTTCACCTGAACATTACAGGAGGCAAAATAAGTGGTGCATGACAGGATGATTTGTAAGCAGAGACAAATGGGAAGAATATATTTTTTTTAAAAATGTGGGGTAGCTTGCTGGAACGTTATACTTTTCTTGTTAGCAGTATTGTGCCTTATAGGGTGGTAAAGTTATCAATCATCAAGCAAGCTCAGTGCATGTGCCAACATAAACGGAGCTGAAACAAGAGAGAGGTATCAGCCTGTGTGGGAGAACTCTAGCTTTAAAAAAGCAGGTAAAAGGGGTTAACTCATTGAAGCCCAAATAAATAAAGAATTTGATCATCAACTGGAAAAGAATAATGGAAAACTATAGAGGGTGAATTGGCTTTCTTAAGCCCCTCATTCTTAGTATTCCAGACTAAAGGAGGCTCACTGGAACCCTAAACAGTAGCATTCCTGTTAGGGAATGAAGATATATTGCAACATTTTGTCGTAGTTTCCACTTATATATTATACAGTTGAGTATATTGTATTTACCAGAAACTTTATTTCTCTGCTGCGTAACTGTAAACTGTATGGTTGAGTTGCAGACAGGAGGGATAAGCCTGGAGAGGAAAGGAACAGGAAAAGTTTGCATTTCCATGCGTATGGTTCTAAAACTCAATACAAGGTGAAGTTAAAATAAAATAAAAAATACAATGCTTGAATAGTTTCGCAACCCTGTTACATACCCAAACAAATATGACACATATAAACCTGCAAACTTCCTCTCCCACCACACCTGAAATGTCAGGTAGTCTAAAGGTTATTTCCAAACACTGACATTTCCTCATGTCCGGTCCCCCCCCCCCGCGATTTTGACAATGGTAATAGCAACAAAGAGATTATGTGCTTTCCACACCAGCTTTAAGTATGAAGGATATAGAAATCTTCCTGAGTTTGTGTGCCCATTCTCTTTTCAGGCCAGAGGAAATGGGTGCGGCACTTAGTGAGTTACCCAACTCCAGAAATCACAATGTGGTTGACCAAGTGGAATTATGCACTGCTATTATCCAGTCACTCAGAAGTAAGTCCTATGCGCTTCCAAAGAAAATAAGGCCTGCAATGCTAACCACTTAAAGGTAAAGGTAAAGGGACCCCTGACCATTAGGTCCAGTCGTGACCGACTCTGGGGTTGTGGTGCTCATCTCGCTTTACTGGCCGAGGGAGCTGGCGTTCAGCTTCCTGGTCATGTGACCAGCATGACTAACCTGCTTCTCGCGAATCAGAGCAGCACACGGAAATGCCATTTACCTTCCCTCCGGAGCGGTACCTATCTATCTATTTGCACTTTGACGTGCTTTTGAACTGCTAGGTTGGCAGGAGCTAACAACTTACCTGGGAATAAACCCCACTTAATTCAATAGGACTTGAGTAGATGCCGTTAAGAAATTGCGCAGCCCCTTCCATGCGGGTGTACATAGGCCTGAAGACAGTCAATATGCCCCGCATGTTCAAGGAGGCTTCTTCCGAGTAAATATGCCTGGTATTGCCATGGTGGGGCTGCAGTCGTCTGCGTGCCCGAACTGGACACTAATATGCCCAATAAGGGGTTGTCTGGGATGCTGTTTTAGCAGTAAACAGGAATTATTTCCGAGTAAACGTGATTGGGGATTGGCATATTCTGGCGTTTGCTCTTTTTTGTAAAGCAATAAATCTTTGAAGGCCGAGAAGGGCAACGACAACTGCTCCCACCAATAAAAACTCCATGCCATGAGCCTAATAAATGAGTTATTTGGCACCTATCAGGAAAATATCTTCAAAAGGGCGTTAGCCTAGTACAGCCCTCATGAGTCACCGCTAACCAAGAGCCCTCGCCCTCAAAGGGCCATTTTCTGGACGGGGCAAGCTTCCTCCTCCTCGTGCCTCAGGGCCAAGGCTGTGGAGCAGCCAGCTGTTCTTCAACCACAACTCCCATCATCCCTAGGTGCGGGCTACGCTAGCTAGGAATGACGGGAGTTGTAGTCCAACGCCGCCTAGCGCCCCAACGTTGCTGCCACAGAGCAAGCCTGCCACCACCCGGCTTATGCCAGTAGCTGTGTCGGACTTCGATTGGCTGGGCTGCCTCGGATAGGATCCGTGCGATTGGACGGGGAGGTGGGGGCCGGGCGCCGACTGTCCCCGCTGTCATTGGCGGATACGTGGCGCATGCTTCCTCCCCCTCTACGCACGCGCGACGGCAGAAGCCGAGGAAGCGTCTCTGCCTGTTGGGTTGGTGCCTTGAGCGCGCGCGCGCCTGCCGTTTTTCTGCGCTCTCCCTAACGCTCAACCAACGGTCGCCGCGATGCCGCTGCAGTTCGAACTGTGCCCGGGCCGGCCAATCGGCGGGGACCACCCCTGCTTCATTATCGCGGAGATTGGCCAGAACCATCAGGGGGACCTGGAGACCGCCAAGCGGATGATCCGAGTGGCTAAGGTGGGGAGGTGGGCGTGGCCAACGGGGGTGGCAACGTGGTGGGTGTCGAGGTTGGGTCAGTTGGGCTGAGGGGCGAGAGGCGGGAGGATGGGGAACGGGAGCAGAGCGGGGGTGGCCGGCGGGTTGCTGCCTGTTCTCGGTGTTTTGTCGGGTATCATGGATAGAAGCTGCATGTGGGAGCGGGGAAGTAACCAAACAATAATGGCTAATTAATGATACTCAGGGAAGCAACTTACTGTCAGGTGGGGGACTGTCAGGTAAATAAAAAATGGGAGCTGTCAAGAATTTTATTATTACTTATTTGATTTATATTACCACCCCTTAACCAAACATCTTGGGGTGCTGCACAACGTTGTTGTTGTTGTTTAGTCGTTTAGTCGTGTCCGACTCTTCGTGACCCCATGGACCAGAGCATGCCAGGCACTCCTGTCTTCCACTGCCTCCCGCAGTTTGGTCAAACTCATGCTGGTAACCTCAAAAACACTATCCAACCATCTCGTCCTCTGTCGCCCCCTTCTCCTTGTGCCCTCCATCTTTCCCAACATCAGGGTCTTTTCCAGAGAGTCTTCTCTTCTCATGAGGTGGCCAAAGTACTGGAGCCTCAGCTTCACGATCTGTCCTTCCAGTGAGCACTCAGGGCTGATTTCCTTAAGAATGGAGAGGTTTGATCTTCTTGCAGTCCATGGGACTCTCAAGAGTCTCCTCCAGCACCATAATTCAAAAGCATCAATTCTTCGGCGATCAGCCTTCTTTATGGTCCAGCTCTTACTTCCATACATCACTACTGGGAAAACCATGGCTTTTACAGACCTTTGTTGGCAAGGTGACGTCTCTACTTCTCAAGATGCTGTCTAGGCCTGTCATTGCCCTTCTCCCAAGAAGCAGGTGTCTTTTAATTTCGTGGCTGCTGTCACCATCTGCAGTGATCATGGAGCCCAAGAAAGTAAAATCTCAACGTTAGGAACATAATTTACAGACATTATGATTGCAACATAAACAGGAATTGTTTGGGACTGGACCTAACGGTCAGGGGTCCCTTTACCTTTAGAGAGCATAATAATAGACAACATAATGATAAAATAGTCGTAATAACAGCCACAAACTGTGGTCCAGTGACCCATGAGCCTCATGCAGCGGCACCACAGCACCTCAGTTAAAAAAGACAATTAGAAATCATGCGGGATCTAGTACAGGACGTTGCAGTTGTTGCCACAGAAAGGGAAAACTGCTATGTGGTCCGTCAAGCCCCTCATCAATGTTCAAGAGGTCTGAGGGGGAGAAAAGTTTGGAGTGGGAAAGGGTGATGGGGAGATGTTTGGCACTTAAGGTTTGTAAAGGTAATGTGTAAATGATGAGAACTGGGAGATTGTACCGTATTTTTCGCCCTATAGGACGCACTGTTTCCCCTCCAAAAATGAAGGGGAAATGTGTGTGCATCCTATGGGGCAAATGCAGGCTTTCGCTGAAGCCTGGAGAGCCCCACCGCCAGCCCCACAAGCTCGGGGGACAGCGGGGAGGTGCAGCGCGCCTTTCCTGCTGTCCCCCGACTTGGTTAGAAGGCTGGCGGAGGGCTTACCCCTCCTCCAGCCCCGCAAGCTCCCAGAGCGATGCCAAAGCTGCACGCAGCTTCGGCATCGCTCTGGGTCCCGTTCTGGGGGCTGGCGTCGGGGGAAGCCCCGCGCCTGGGGGGAGGGAATAATTTTTTCCCCTTTATTCCCCCCCCCCAAATCTAGGTGCGTGCTATGGGCCGGTGCGTCCTATAGGGCGAAAAATACGATAAACCACAAACTAGTTATCAAGGGGCACTTGGATGTTAGCTCTTTAAAAAACCCCTCCTGAGATCATTTTATGATATTTCCACCTTCCTTCCAAGGAGCTCAGGGTTTCATCAGACCCAACTGACATTGTGAGCGTCAATCCTGTGAGATTTGGCTGAGAAACAAGAGCATAAGATGAGCCTGCCGAATGAGGCCAGTGGCCCATTTTGTTCAACATCCTGTTCTCCCAGGATGTTCTGACCAGGTTCCTGTGTGAAACTGGCAAGTAGGACCCAGAGCATTTCCCCCTCCTGTGGATTCCAGCCACTGGTATTCAGAAGTATTACTTCTTCCAATTGTGGAGGCAGAGTATAGAGCCATTCTTCTGTAGTGGCATCTGGGCTTAGTTCCCTTTTCAGCCATTCAACTATGTCACTGAGCTACAGCCCTTGCATATGGAGCTAAAGTTCTGTTATAATGTGTCCTGTTGGAGGATGCGCTGATGGAATGATCAGAAAAGCACAACATTGAATTCCTATGTGATTAGAATTGGGAACTGGTACCATCGTTGAGCTTAAATGGTTCATCAGTTGGGTTCGTTAGTCTGCAAGAGCCTAATCTGAAATAGAAAGAGGAGTCTATTTGCTGACCTTTCCTTTGTTTCAGTGGCTGTTTAGCGCAGTGTACATCTGACAAAGTCCACAGAGCTTATTCCACAGTAAACTTACTAGGTTGCGTACACACCATACATTAAGGCAGATTATTTCCCCCAAAAGAATCCTAGGAACTGTATTAAGAGTGCTGGGAACTGTAAGTGTGTGAGAGGTAATCTCCGGTCCCAAAAGTCTTTAAATGGTGTGTATGTAGCCTATGTCCTTAAGGCGTCTCAAAAGGACTCGTCAATATTTTTAAAATTTGCATTGGCATGGTCAGTTCAAGCGGTGTGCATGCCCAGGAATGAGATGGGCATGTTCAGTGACCTTGAAGAACTATTGTAATGCTTGTGTCTTTTTAGGAATGCGGAGCAGATTGTGCCAAGTTTCAGAAAAGTGAACTAGAGCACAAATTCAATAAGCGAGCCTTGGAGAGGCCATACACTTCCAAACACTCTTGGGGGAAAACTTATGGAGAGCACAAGCGCCACCTGGAGTTCAGCCATGATCAGTATCGAGAGTTGCAGCGATATGCAAAGGAGATTGGCATTTTCTTCACAGCATCAGGCATGGATGAAGTAAGTGAGATGTTGGTTTTGTTTTAAGAAGGAGCTGCCACATCTGACATTACCCGCAACTTGGTGAACAACCCCATAGTACGCAGGATACACAGGGAACCAGAATTTCAAAACTGTCCTTAGTCCACCTTCAGCAGGTTAGGAAAAGAGCTAGCACCAGTATTTTTAGAGCAGTGTCTTCTATCTAGTTGCAACCTTTTCAGTATAGATGTAAAAATCACATATGTTTTCCAGTGTCTGACCATGGTCACTGCATAAGGGTTGCCGATTCCCCCCGAGGGATCCTCTGTGGTGAATAGTGTCTGTCTGTGACTGTAACACTGAACGCAGAAGTCAAACCTGCTGAAATTTCCATTGCAGAATGTATGTACTGGTGGGTTTTTTTGGAAATTTTGAATCCGTAAGTGCTTTGCTGATGGAATTCAGATTTAGCATCTTTACTGGACTTCCTTTTTTGTGCTTCAAAAAAAATCACCTATGATTACAATAAAGCAAAACAAGTAAATGGTTGAATATTGTTCTGAAGTTGAGTTGGCATGCATTTCACAAGAAAAACTAACAAGGTCATTACAAATCATTTATTTATCATTACAAATCATTTAATCATATACAAATCATTCATTACAAATCATTTATTTTCCACATGTATTTCAGCTGATCTACTTTTGCACACTGGGGGAACTTTTAAGAAAGCAGAGAAGCTGAAATATTTAATTAAGGAGAAAAATAAAGCATACTTAGTATAGTTTTAATGCTTTGTTCAAAGAAACTCAAAACATGACAATTCATGATTCACTTCCCCCGGAGGCAGTCAGTCTGCTGCCCTCCAGTTGTTTATGGGCTTCAGCTTCCATTAGTCTCAGCCATCAATCATTGGTCAGGGATGAGGAGAGCCTGAGGTGCCTAAAGGGAGAGCTGTGCCAAGGCCTCTGCTGAGGTTCACATTAGGGGTGGGGTAGGTGGAGGGGGAGTCCTTTGCCTGTGTCTCTTGGCTCAAGTTAAAGCAGCTGAGGTGCATAAAATGTTGAGATTTTTTATATCAAGCACTGTGTCGGGGGTCTGACAGCAAGTCTCTGAGGCCACTGGGTTTGAGGTAACCAGTTTCCAGTATGCAGCACTTTGCCTTCAGAAATGCTAACAGGATACGGATATTATGGTACATCCTCATAGAACTGTAGAATTGAAAAGGACCCCAGGGAACATTTAACCCAACCCATTGCAATGCAGGAATATGCAGCTATCCCATAAGGGGATCGAACCTGCAACCTTGGTGTTATCAGCACCATGCTCTAACCAACTGAGCTAGACTGTCTGCTTGGTGGACCTAAGGTGTCTGATTCAGGGTTGGTTATATCCAGGTAGAATCAGTGGCATTGACAAATACTCTGAGGCAGATCTGCATCCTTCTTCATTGCTGATGTGTGGGGTTGGGAGGAGCCTTATTCAGCCCAAGGACATTCCCTCCTGGACAACATTCCAGGGGCCACATGTCAGTTGTAGGCGGAGCAACGGATGCAGATTTTACCCTTGCACAGTAGGCTAGTTTCTGCACATACTCATCCCCAACCCTTCCATCCAGCCAAGCAAGAAGCATGATTAGAATTAAAGGATACATTCCAGCCACAGACAATATTACCAAAAAAAGAGTGC